GTGGAAGGGTTATGTTGGGGAGGGGGGGGGGGGGGTTATACTTCTGTAAAAGCATTGTTATCCTAAAGACAATCTGTCATTACTGATCTTTTTCTGAAAACTCTAGTTGCTTGGCTGTCTGGATGATCCTTTCTGTGTCACTGTCACCTGTATTTCTTACATCACTCATAGTTCATGCTGCTTATTTCCGCTCAATGACTTGGTGAAAGTAGTAAGGCCAGAGATGCCGGGCACATATTCTGGAACAGGTTAGCAGTTGCAGGCTATACAGTTTTCTCAATATCCTTTAAAAGAAACCTATACTGAGAGAAATCTGTAGGCTGCCATTGCTAACTTCTTTCTAAAAATACTAGTGGCTGGGCTTTCTGCCATCAATATATTGTGAGACATTGTCCAGGAACAAGCACACAGATCAAAGAAATCAGAACCCCTGATCTGCATACTCTTTCTGGTTCATTGAAGCGTTTGGACCAAAACGATAGCCTGGAAACTAGCACTAACGTTTATAACAGTGCAGCTTGCAGTTTTCAGAAGGAAAACGCTCAATTGGGCTATATAACTATTAATGACGAGGTACCTCAATGAGGTCACTGAAAAGTAAAAGAATGAGGAACAATGATCATTGGTTCGGACTATTGTATTGTTTTCTATGAAGAAGAATGCTGGTGTTATAGAACTAGAATGACAAAGGGCTTAGCCTGGATAGTGTGCCTGTATTGTCTAAAGCAATTGATTAGAAGGATGACAATGAGACTCATGTGGTGTGTCTGAAAGAAAAAAGTGTACGTTTTGCCTATAGCAACCAATCAGTCTTCTTTTTATAGTCTGATCTGCAGAAAAATATGTGAACAAACTTCATTTAATTAAATGGCACAGTAGTAGGAGTAGCAGCAGGATCCTGGGCCTAAGGGGACCCTTTTTCTACCTGTGCGATTCTCATCTAGCTTTGGGCTTGCTAATGTTGCATATGAACTATGAATTGTTTTTCAGGCCGTGTAATAACTGCTTAATGCAAGTGCCACTAAACCCAAAATGCAAAGTCCTGAGTCTCTCCAACTTCACAGTAAAGCTGGTTAAACACAGATCTTCAGTCGTTGTTTCAGGAGATTAAGTTTTAAGCAATTAAGCAGCAAATTTTAATTGATTGTTCCAGTCACAGGAAATTGTTTCAGCCTCTGACACCATGGAATCCAATCGCAATTTTTTTAACTGTTACTATTCTTTAGTATCTATTATCTCTAGTCCAATTCGCTCCCTTGCTGCTTGAAATGCGATCGTTAGCAAGAGAACAGTAAGGCCTCATTCACACACAATGCAAGAGCAAAATGGTATATTGCGTATATACTGTACGCGCATATATGCGTGCACTATATGCAATCCCATATACACGCGCGCAAACACACGTAAATACGCAGAAATACGCTGCCCGGACGCATCTCAGTTCCATTCTGTTTTTGCGCATTTTTACGCTACGCAAATATACGGCTCCATATGCAGCTATGTGTATGGAGCCATTTATTTGCATATGCCGCATATGGTACAATATGCACGTATGCGCATATATGCGCGGCAGTGTGAATGAGGCCTAATAGGATGATATATTGCTACCTGAGACATTGAGGGAGGATAATGGAAGTTACATTTTAGCAATGTGGTTGCTGGCAAAGTATCACTAATGAAAGAATCCCCAATCTCACGTGGATCCTAAGGTGACACTAAACTCAGGAGTTAAAACTTAAACATACATTCAAGTACCTTAACTATTAACAAAAATCTTATTTGTGTATCATTTGGCTGTAGATCCTCAAATCGTCTCTGAATTGGTGCTGACGCTGTCCTTCCTTCTGGAGGGTGGCTACTGTTATTCCCCATGGTCCCGGTGTGTGTTGTAAAGTAGCCACTGGTCCAAGCTCGCTCCTGTGATAGACTACAATCTCAATTAAAATGAGTAAATTAAAGGTGGCCATACACTTTACAACCATCGCAAGACTTAGGTCTTGCGATGGTTGTAAAGTAATTAAAAAAACGTACGATCTGCCCATCTTGGACAGGCAGATCGTACTTGTGATCATCGCAAGCCTGCCCCCCTGAGGGGCGGGCTTCGGATAACCGCAATGCTGAACGGGCAGTGTGCGCGTGCGCACACCGGCCCGTTCGGCATTT